TCTTGGGAAATTCTGCCCTAGCAACGGCCGTGCGACCCTTGACGACCGGTCTGATGCAACAATGATATTAAAAATTCCTGCTTGGATGATCCCTTCGCGAAATATTTCGGGAGTCAATGCAATTTTAACATGGACCATTTATGGAAATTAAAACTTCAACGGAATGACACACGCCTAAAACTCACAGACAAGCCACAATATGGAAATGCATGTCCAGCATGGCGTATGATAGCAATAATAGGTCAAAGAGAGTATATACTCTCTCTCTCTCTCTCTCTCTCGTCGCGCGCGCTCTCTCTCTCTCTCTCTCTCTCTCTCTCTCTCTCTCTCTCTCTCTCTCTCTCTCTCTCTCTCTCTCTCTCTCTCTCTCTCACACACACACACACACACATTCACACATGACCTGATTTTGACATAAGCACCTTGTTCCTAGAATTTCTAATAAAAAAAAACCTACGCCACCTTTTTCTGGCCAATGATTCTGAACCCAAATGTAATCGAAGCCATGGGTTCAGAGCTTGCACATTATATGGCACATAATCGTTAAAGATCTCGAGAAAATGCTATAGTTATGACTGCCTATGACCATCAGCGTATTTTATATTCAGCAAACTGATTTGAAGCACTTGATCATGACTTAGATGACCCGAGTTTAAAATTCATATTCTGTTTAAAATTTTCATACAATTTCAAAATCAATTCTCACTCTCATTTTTAGATTTGATCTCCACCTGAAAACCCGATATCCGTTCGCAAAATCACTAATGATTTTCAAAAACGTTTTCCCGTTTCGAAATCAATCACCACCTTCAAAATTTCTATTTCTAATTTTAAAATTCTACTTTCAATAAAGTTTTCACAAAGTGTTTTTCGTTTTTAAAATTATTTTTTGTTTTCGAAATCAATCTACGTTTTCAAAATTAATTTTCGTTTTCCATATAAAATTTGTATTTTTACAACCAACTGGCGTTGTTTCAGTCAATTCTCGTTTTCAATATCATTTCTCGGTATTGAAGCTGGCTTGCTTCTTCAAGTTTTTGAAACTGGCGGTTAGTAGATGAGCTGGTGTCATAGAAGAGTCATCCGACTGATAACCAGAGAAGATAAGTTAAACTAGCCTGGACCTTCAGCTCCTACTAAATCAGACATAGAAATTACCCCTTGAAAGTTAATAACAATAAGTTGTGATAGCCACAGTATAGGCAAAAGATGCATGGTGGGGCGACAACGTGAGGTTAGCGTGTGACCGACAGGTAGAAGTTAAAGCAGGTGAGTGAAGACGGAGGTGAGGCGTGGAGAGAGTGAACATATGTGGTACTGGTAGGAGTTGCGGGGATGAGGATGGGAGAAAGTGAGAAGGTTTTGCCTACCCTTTCTTCCCTCCCCAACTTTGCTGCCGTCAATTCCTCACCCCATCTATTCTCTCTTTTCACACCTCGACTCTATCTTCAATCACCTGCTCCAATGTTCCCTGACTTACCACCCTCTTGGCTTTACGTTGCACCCCATCCTGCACCTTTACCTATCCCTTCATAGGCTCTAATATGGCCATCCTGACCTTCGAAGTTGTCTTTCAAGAAGTAACTTCCATGTCTACAGTGGGAAGATCTGAGGCTCCATGCTAATTTGCTAGTCACTTAAGGTTAACATAGGGATGGCTCTCCTATGGAAGCAGCGCACCTACCAGATACTAGTTGTAGAAAATTGGAAGAAGCAACCGGGCTTCGACAACGGAAGATGATGTTGAAAAAGGAAATTTATCTCAAACACGTTACTTGTTTAAAAAAAAACGAATTTTATCTTGAAATCCAATATTAACTTTAAGAATGTAGATTGAATTTGAAAATATAAATTAATTTTAAGGATAAAAGGTGATTGTTGGAAACCAAAATTGATATTCAATGTCCATTTTCAAAAAGTATTCTTCTGTGCATTTTTTGCGTTTCAGAAACTAGTTATTTATTTTTATAAACTACAGAACTCAATCATTGAAATACTCATGATGCAATCGCTGACAGCCCCCCCCCATCCAAACCCAATCCGGTATAGAGGTGCCAGATTATCTGCCATATATTTGCAAAAAATAATATTTGAAAAGGTGTCTATTTTAGTAGCATTTCAGGAACATCTAGATTCTTGCGTTTAACGCACGCACAGACACACGCGGGGGTGAGTGAGAGAGGGAGAGAGGGAGAGAGAGAGAGAGAGAGAGAGAGAGAGAGAGCATAGAGAGCGAAGATAGAGAGCTAGAGAGGAGAGAGAAGAGAGAGAGAGGAGATAGAGTAAGAGTAGAAAGTGAGAGAGGTAGTTGAAAGAGGAGGAGTAAAAGAGTAAAACTAATACAACACAAGCATAACATAAAGAATGTGTCAGTCAATCATGCATCGTGGCAGGCAGACAGACAAGGCAGACAGCGCAGACAGGCAGGCAGCAGGTAGTCGCAGGCGGCAGAGGCAGAACATAGATAGACAGACATACATACAACAAATCAACAGACAGACTAGACAGCAGACAGCAGCAGGCAGAGACAGCAGACAGGCAGTCGAGGCCGGCAGGTAGCAGGCAGGCAGAACAGGCAGAAATCGAAGATAGATAGATAGAGACAAATAAAGAGCAGAGAGAGCATTTACAACACATTTGATCGTCGGACTGTGCTGTTTATCTGTCAATACTAAAACAGTAATAATTGGATCGCTTAACGTCGATTTTGCAGTCCAGGAGCGTCCAAATTTTTCGGCGTTATGGAAACTATGTTACTGTATTCACGCTT